GCTTTCCCCTACATGTACCGGTAGCTCTGCTCCAAATGTTTCTCTGGGGACACTGGTGCAAGTTTGATCATGCAAAATTTTGCCAAAAACAGTTCACAAACTTGGTAAGTTCAAGACAATAACACAATTAAACAACTCAGGACTAAAGTTCTCTTTTGTTCACTCTTGTTGGATTTATGTGGTATCAGCAGCATTTTGTGTTGGAAACACATTAGTTGTGGGAACTACATTTTATGTGAACACATATTTTGATAAATTGTTCAATATTCTTGCAAAACTTGCAGTGTTGTACATGTATATTATCAAAGCAGTCCCACATCGTTTGTTTCTGATTGTGGCTGACATCTGGTCATTGATCTTTTAAGATTGATTTGCCATTAGAACGCACAATTTATATCAATGGGTATATTTAATTTCAAAAATGAAATTCTGCATGATATGGTTTGTAAATGGCTGGAGCAGTTTATAGACCAGCTTGTATCGGTATGTTTGCTGACATATTAATGCTGATATCGTCTGCAATCAGTGCAATGTTCACACATTATACACGTACCTCATTCAATTTGCCATCCACAGTGGATAAATATTTCAATAAATGTATGTAGATTGTACAATGTGTGCACGCATTTGCCATTTATTACCTGTATTGCAACCGTGTACAAGTATTACAACTCGAGTATTAATTTGTCTACTGTCATGGGATATCACATGGAACCATGTACCTTTTCCAGACAACAACAACATGTGTTGGATATCCTGTTATGATAATTTAAACAGAAATATGAACCAAGAGGTTTGGGTCCAGAAAGATCATTTTAGATCAAAAAGAAACACATCAGGAGCTTGGAAACAGGAGGAAATGATATCAGCAGCAAGTGCCCCAGGAGCGCTGAATGTGAGACTGCTTGAAATCCTGCAGTTGATCGGACAAAAGGGAGGAATGATCCCAGAAAATATGCCGAGCTGGCAAGCCACATGGCCCTGAACTGAAGCTTAATGTTACCATGGCAACAGATGCTTTCTCCAGACTGAGCCTTAATGCCAGCTAGACAGCCTTTCCCCTTAGCCATTTCCTGGTGTGGGACGCTCTGTCCTAAACAGGATTAGATTGTAGGGATGTGGCCATTTGCTAAATTAAAAAGGATTGTCGGCCTGCGTAATTATTGCCTTAAATCGTATTCGCTTTTGATTCATTAGTGCTGTGGAGATGGTTAGGGTATGGTGCCCAGTGTCCTCCGCGGCAAGCCTGCCCCGCATAATGTATACACAGATTATTGGATCTTGGCAGTGATTAATTTTCTTCTGTGCAAACAGGAAGCCAGCCTAATTGGATTTTGTGTTGACAACTCTTGCAGTTAGAAACAGCTTGTTAAACCTGGAGGACAATTACAAAAAGTCACATAGCCTGCACCCTGATCAGCAGGAAATAAGGGGGCAGTGCGAACATGTATACATTGTACTGTGATATTGTAACCCTGTTGGTCACTTCAATAACCTACTCTACACTTCAAGTACAGTGTATGTGGGGAGACACAACAAAAACTACATGTTGTATTCTTGCTGCGTTAAGAAATTAGGATGCATTGGGCTTACATGTATTATGCACTGGCAAATTCTTATTGAAATCCTATTTAATCCAACAGTAGGCAATTGTTTATCAATCCTCTTTTAAGTGTGAGGATGTTGCACAGTATTAGGTACTGTCTGGCAACAGGATCCTATATAGCAAGAGTTTCAAAGAGCCTTTCATTTGCAAAAAACGAACAACTTCACATTGACTTTGTCACTTCCCATCTTTTAATTTAAATAAAGAGGGCTCGGGCTGCAATGTTTTCTCCCTGTTTTTCATCCCCTGATTTGGAAAGCTGGTGATAATGGCTGATTTCCTTGCTGTCTGGATGTAGGGCCTACATGCTGGAGACGGAGCTGATGCGGATGTATTTCTGGACGAGGCGAATTGGATGGATCGGTTGTTATGACATGGTCTGCTTGCTATGAAACATCTGTCTCGCTGACATCTCGTCATGCTCCCGTATTCCTCTTAATTTCCTGTGCTTTATTGGGAATCAGATGACACATAATACATGTATGTACATCTACATGTTGTATATCATGGCCCATACCAATTTAGCTCTACATGCAAATGTGCTAGTAGTTTATGTGATTTAAGGGGGGGGGGGAGAGATTTATCACCCTTGTAGTAATAACAGGGTTGATCTGGGCGGCAGTGCTTAATTAAAAAAGCTCAGAAAGTTAATATTCTTTGCAAATGTGTCTGGTACTGTACATGTACATGTGTGTTCAATGTACGTGTATGTTGTACATGAACTGTAATTTGTAAATGCAGTATGCAGGCCACCGACTTTTGTGCAGAATGCACTGAATACATTGAAGGTCTGTCTGCCTTGTACTAGACATTGAGGATCCGTAAAATAGCCAAAAGAACCATTCATGGACTTTGTGTAGTTCATTTTTGTACACAGCAAATTCAGCTGCAGGATATTCCCATTAGTCCCATTACCCGTAGAACTACATGTAGTAGGCTGTTCACCAGCCATGGTGAAAGAGGTATAAAATATTCTAAGATTTCTCCTTCAACTTATTTCCACTTTCCCTTGCTTCTGACAAGTGTTTAAAAATATTATTTACTCCATTCTTTCCTCTACACAAATTGTGGTTCAAATGTACTTAAGCCTTTATTAATGTGTACGCAAAAAACATGTAGGTGGCTAAGGTGTGTACATGTACATCAATTGCATCCCCCCTCCAACTTGGCATCTAGCTCCACATACCACCGTCATTGTAGTTGGGGTGTTTCAGTTTATTGCATGAGTTTCAAATTTGACCATTCCTGCATGGAGGGGGATACTTGTTGGTGTCAGTATTTGGTTATTATTTGCAGCAAATTTGGCAGTTTGCCCGTTTTTGTTCACTAAGGACAAGGCCATTCATAACCACAGGTGCCAGTGATGTCATTTAAGGCGTCCAGTTTACAATTACACTTGGTTTGTTGACAGTACACTCCACTTTGTTGTTGTTGGGTGTTGCAATCTTTTTTTAGTCTCCAGCCATTTCTTTCAGACAGATGTACCGGTAAAATTGCGCGGTCTCCAAAATTAAACCCTGATGATTTTCTACCAAGCCAAACCATGTGACTATTCTGAGCATAAGGGGGAGCAGTTGCTCAGGGCTCTGCAATAACAGTGCACTTGGAATTGCAATTTGCGAATATTAATAAAAAGAAACTGCTTTTGCAGATGTCAGTCACACACTGCCCGCAATTCACAACCAGTGCTGCATTGAGCAGGCCAAGGCTCCCGTCCCACGCTGATGTTACCATGGCAACTTATGCTACCCGTTGATGCATTATTAAGCTTCTCCCCATCTGGAACTCTTTTCTTTCTTTTCTTTGTGTACATTGTATTTGCAGTGCTCCGGTTCGCTGGCGTCAGTTCTTCAATCCGGAGTTGTTTTCAATCCACCCACTATTTTTTTTTTGGTTGAGGTGTGGGCAAATCTTTTGTCAGCCAACAGTTGCATTGGCAACTATTCACATGTTGATTTCTGATAAAAGCTGTTTCCATGGTAACCCCGGCAGGCGTGCAGCTAAGTGGAGTGTTTTGCTTTGATTCAGGCTGCCTTTGCTGTGTATTGCTTTGCCTTTGTTGGGTCTGCGCTAGCAGAAATCTGTGCTATACCGGTACATGTAAATGCAGAACAGGATGATTTGCTAACAGTCAGAGTTAAAGCAACATTACTTCCTGTTATGGGAAATGTTTGTACTTAATTTGTTGTTTTTGGAAATGTAATGTACTCAGTTCCTGTCTTGAAACAGAAAGACATAAACTGTAGTCGTCATAGAAACTACAGGTACATGTACTTTTGAGTTTGAATTTTAAGGGGAATTTGTGTGTGTGTGTTGTATGTTGGATGCATTCAGTGTATGAATGTTACCGGTATATGTTGGATGCAATCACTGTATGAATAAATAAACAAAAATGCCAAAAAACAAATAAGTCTTACAGGATGTACTACAAAATGGACGTAGTGCAGTGAATGGATGAAATATAAAAACCATACACAAACACATGTACATTTAGTGGTTTTTTTTGGTTGATAAAACTTCAAATAAGGACAAGTTGAAAAATAAAAACTACCACACTGCTTCGTTTGTGGTTGTAGACATGTATAATTGTTTGGAGTGTGAACATCAAGTTTCACCAAATTGTCAGAATTTAATAACTGAGAATCCACAGTAATAAATCGTATTCAGTTTGTCAGCTTCTCGCTGGCAATTGGATAATGGAAATTGTGTACGTCATACTTTTCCGAATTAATAAAAAGTGTGGTTTCTTTGTTGTTTGCGTGCGACAAGCGTGGCCCTGCACCCTCAAGGTAACTTGAGGAATTTAGGAATCACAAAGGAGGGAATGCAACGAAAAAGTGCATCAAGGGGAGCGCGTGTAATACTTTTTGAATGGACTCTCAATTCCAAGCGTGGGCTGGCATTGTCAGGACTTGGTATTTTTTTAACCTGTTGCATGCAAAACCCAAACAGGTAAGGCCAGCCGTGCATGAAGCGACCTTGTTGCTTTCTATACCCGCTTGATACCTTGGCCCTCAAAGGGCTAAATATGAATCATTGTTTGGGGATCTCAACCAAACTTCCCCAAGGAAAAAAATCAGTGACCGTTAATTTCAAATGAGGCCCATTGATATTCCAAGCAGGTATTCACATGTAAATCTGGTGGTGACTGGCACAGAACACGCAACAAGAAAAAGACATTGCAGTGGTGGTTCAGTCTCGCTTAAGTTTTGGCTGGCATTACACTGAATTTAAGAAAACAAAAAGAATATGGTCTTCTTTTCAAGATGGCAGGTTTGTATTGGCAGGAATTAAGTTTCACGGGAAATTTGCAACTTCCAATATCTCTTTTAGTACTTTATCTTGTAAGTTTGCAAGTTTTGATCTGGTGGTTTTATAATCTTTTTGCTTACAGGTGGTAGCCTGCCGCCATGCCACCCAATCGTAAACCAGAGCGTCTACTGAAGAGACACTTAACGTTAGGCCTGAGTAAGAGCTTCCCTAGTGCCACACTGTCCCGGGCCCTCGGCAGCCGTGTCAAGATGGACCTGAACAGCAGCTGCTTTGCTGAGATCAAGCTGGAGAAAGGCACCATGGACGACGACGAATTGCGGCCGCTCAGCTGGCTGCACAGCACAGACCTGCTCAAAGACATGAACTTGGATGATGAGGAGGATGGCAACGCTAAAGAGAACAACGCTGGCGATGGCATGATGAACAAGTATGGGAACCTGTCGGCAGGGGACCATCAGGACGGGCCCGTGGACCCCAAAAGGCACATCAACAGTAAGCCACCGTTTTCATTCAGCTGTCTGATCTTCATGGCTATTGAAGACTCACCGCTGAAACGTCTTCCAGTTAAAGACATTTACCAGTGGATACAGGACCACTTCCCTTACTTCCACAACGCCCCCACGGGCTGGAAGAACTCTGTCAGGCATAACTTGTCGCTCAACAAATGCTTCCGTAAAGTGGACAAGATCAAGGGGCAAATCAGCCTGGTAAGTTGTTGCAAATCAGTCATATTTTCAAAAATTGAGGGGAAAAATGACCTATTGACCATTTTGCTTTGTGAATTGATTTTAAATACAAGAACACATACCGGTAGAGTATTATCAGTTGGTCAGCTGCCTTTTCTGTTTAGTATTGGGTTCCATGCTTTGCATGCCAAATTGTCATATAATTACTTTAAAGCCAAGTGAATATTTATTCAGCCTTACAAAAAAAACAATACAGTTTTGAAAGTATCAATCTAGAAATTCCATCATCATGGGATTTTTTTGCCAACGTGTACTTTAGGTCTCATATTCTAAAACTACATACATGTACTCGATGGTTACAAGAATCCACCCCAAAAAGTAAGAGTTCTAACTTCTAAGCAGTAAACTGACACTTATCAGCAGGGCACCTCGTGGCTTCATTTCCTGGGTTCTGTGATGGGACCATTCAGGAGTTACTGGGTTCCCTGCCTTGCCCAGTACTGTAACCCTGCCGCACAGCTGCTCCCTACCCTGGCAAAACAAAGACTTCCCTGGGCAGGACATCTGCTCTCGAGTATTGCCATAGCAACAGAAAAACAAACCTGGACCTAAAGATTTAATTACCTTTGTCTCATTTCTCTCTCTCTATTGGGCAGAAAAATACACTTGTTCTCTTTGTATTTCTCCCTCTTTATAGTTTTTGCTTCTATACATTTTATGATGATGAATAGTACAATAACTCTTTCACGTGTCTTCTAACACCTGCCCATTTTGGGGTCATTAGTATTGTTGACCTGTCACGATTTTCTATCAAATCCAGAAACCTAGTGAATAAACAACCAATTTGATCATCTTTGTGAATTGAAGATTATTGTGGAACCTATTTCATTTAGTTGGTACTCTAAAATTGGACTGGACATTCCTACCTGTGGGGTTTCAAGGCAAGGCAACATCAAATGACAGGTTTAACAATATACTCTGTGTAACTGAAGTACAATTAGCCTATTTGGCAAATTGTGACAAGGGTCAGACTCAAGGCGTCCCTTTGTGGGAATATTTCAGTGAAAAGATTCAATTTGATCATCGGCAAGGGTGACCCAAATTGTTATTTTACGCATGCATGTTACATTTTCTACTTTGCAAGTTGAATTCATGTTTGGCTTTAGTGTTGAAATTGAAGCTTTTGCAATCATGTTTTCTCCCTGAGAAAAATACTAAGCCTTCACAGTTGTGCTTGCTACTTTTAACTAAACACTGCTGAGAATCTGTTTACAATTCCAATTAATCAAACTATTTCAGTGCTTGAAACAGTTTAAGCTAACAATTACCCTGCAGAAGTTGCAAGGAAAAAGCTTGATAAAGTTCAGCACAAGGGGCACACTTGAGTTAAATAATAGGCTGACGTGGACACCACTGAATGAATCAGTCCATTTTGAGATACCGGTATATTTTGTTTTCAAAGGTCCAGGATAGGGCATTGGGTTTGGCTTCAAGTGTAGGTCATGTAGGATGATAAGAGTGTTTGTGCAGTTCTATATGACTACTTGAAACAACAATGGGCTGGCCTTCTGATTGTATGCATAGTAGTATTGCTTGCTGGTGTGACCAATGTCTTTGTGACCAATGTCATTTAAAGTTGGCCAAAGTTTTGAGTGTCCAAATGAAAAGGTGTAGTGGGGTGCAGAATTAAACAAAGAAACAAAATACATCGAAAAGCAGGATCGGTCATGCAGTGTTTACACTAGTATGTGTGAGTAAAGTTGGTTTGAGGATAGTGATATTGTTGATTTATCTGAACTTGTATTTGAAACACCAAGCCTTAGGTGCAAAATATTCTGATTTGAATCATCTGTATTTTGTAATTGGCTAGTCTTTGCCTCTATCATCCATTGCACAGCTGACAATTAGTCTTCATCTGTCATGAAAGATGTGCAGTCGTGCAATGCAAAGCACAGTCCAGATATTTAATCTCCAATGACAACACACCTACATACAAAGGTAGCCATGGTTACTGAAAAAACCATGACAACGGAAGAAGTATTTTGTAACACTGACTACAAAATTGAAATCTGGAAAGAATCTGTTGACAAAACAAGGTCTGATAAAAAATATACAGAATGAGAGAATGTTTGTTGTTTATAAATACAGGCAAAGATGCATACGTGTAGCATACTCAGACCCGTTACTTCAACTTTTCATAAAACTTATGAAAGAATGCAAAGAAAAATCAGGCGACAGGAGTTGTGACTATGCATGCATTTGAATACAACTGTCTGAGTTCCATTCAATGCACAAGGCCATTGTACAACACAGAAATATTTTCATTGGACCATGAACTTTGCAGTTAAAGAGCTGATACCGGTAGTTTGGATGGTTGCACTATGCCAACTTGCAATATTGCATCAGAGGATTGTAGCACTGTTTACTGTCATCTGTGGAATGCCAGGTGCACAGTCATGCAAAACTTGAAAAACAATTTTTCTGAAAAACACATTTTTTGTTTGGTATTTTAGCCCGCCCATATACTGGTAGTCAAATAGCCTACATGTAAGTCTTTACTTACATTTACAATGTACATTTTTCAAATCTTTTACATTTTAATCTGAAGAATGTGGAATGTTTTGAAAACTTGTTATTTATTAAAAAATAAAGAAGCAGCAGAAATGTGAACATACATGTATTGCAAAGAAGCTAGAGTTAAACTACCTGGTATGTGTATGTTTTTAAAAGCTACAACAACATTGCACGTATTGTAATCAGACAATGTATAGTGTACACGTATATATATGTACACATTTCAGAGACACATTTCAAACACTGAAATTCTTTGAATGAAATATTGGTCAAGTACCTTTCCAATGCCTTAAGAAAGAGACACGGAAATTCTGAATTCTGAATTTTTGTCTTTTTTGATTGTTTAAAATAGAAAATTAACCATGTTGTTTTTAAGTGGTTCTTTACCACTCTATGTGTACATGTACAGTTTACATATATTGTACACATGTGTGCTGTGCTTTCTACTTGTGGTTTTACAGGGAAACTACGGCACATGTGTACATGTACATAAACGCTATATGTTTTGTACAGGAAGTAACTCCATACCGAAAGGAAGACACCGGTTAAGATAACCCTATCAGGAAGTACCAGCCAATCACTATGGCCTTGCTATATTACCATGGTGATGTGTCCAGCTGTCACTGGGTGAGCTGGCCGTTGCCTGGCAACCATTTATCTTAGCAACAGGCCCTTTGTGCAGTCACAACTGGGATGGCCTCGAAGCGAAACTTATGAAGGGTTGGATTTACTTTTCAAAACCAGGAAGTTGATTGGACAAAGAAAACAATGAGGAAGTTGAATACATAGGCCTACACATATTTAATAAATTGTTTCATACAATTACAAATTTGTATGTGGGCTGACATGCATAATTTTTCAATGGGCCCTTTGCATTCATGGAACTATCACGGTAGAATCACGTCAACGCAGCTTGTGAAATATTGTCCAATGACATGATATACAAATTGACGCGCAACACGCAAAATCTGAGACAAACAAAACCCAACTTACAATAGTTCCATAGGGTTGTCTACGGGGCGTGGCTAACTCGCAAACTGCGATAGGTCAATTGTAGCAGCAGTTTTTGAAGTTTTTGTTGTATTTGAATTGTTTGCAGATAAACCCTAATGAAAACTGTCAGTACAGTTGTTAATATTGAAAAGCATTTTGTAATACTTCTATAAAAAGATCCCGCACGTGTTTATCATTTATCATCTGGTACCGCTACACATACAAACATGTACATGTTCATGTAGATATTGATGGAATAATATTTACAGTTTGACCTTATTTTGGAGAGTAGTTCAAGTCCAGTTGAACACTTCTCGGGGTAGTGAAGTGAACAAAACAGGAAGCCCATCGTCAGTCTCAAAATTCCTAAAATGGATCGGTTGACCTCCCAAATGCCTCCAGATCAAATCATTCAGCGGGTCTGCATCCAGCGCGCATGCATGCAGGGTATGGTGCCTCTCAATCGGGCTCCGCAGTTTTAGGCCCCCCACCTGTGTAAAAGGCATTTTGGAATGAGCGTAGATTTGGACAAATTGCCCCGAGTGGAACCCTGACTGTGCCAGGCATCAGCAGCAAGCCATTCAGATCTGTCTGGCTGTGAAAGCGCCGTGTGCAGCCAGATATGATTAAGTGGTTCAAAAAACAACAAAAACAAAAACAAAAGCAGGTGGAATTTTTGTCCCCTTATATTTCAGTTGTAAGTGTGACAAACATTGCCAAAAAAAAAAGGGTCGTGCTCTAGCAATAGATGCATTACCTTTTGGGGAAATTGTATTCATCATACTGACTCGCACGATGCACGTAATATAGGATTGTGTCTATAAACATTATGAGAACAAATGTTCAAATGAGATACGAGACAAATCTATTAATAGACAATTAATGAGCTGTTGACATGGTAACTATTTACAGATAACGAGGCATTGGCATATCCAATCATAATATGTATATTATGTTGCTACATTGGTTAATGGGTAAATCAATCGTGTACGGTAAATCAATCATGTGGTTTTTTGTACTTAATAAGATAGACTTTTCTTTTTCTACTTTCTTTGGGAAATTTATTACCTGTCAACATTTATGAACAAATACCAAAATACTACTAGAAGTAGAAACTCTAGCCAAAATGTTCCAATGTTCCAAAAGAAACAAAGTGTGTTCCTCCAACCAGTTGACTTTATTGTCTCTTTTACCAGAAAGAAGACAGAAAAAAAGCACATCCAAGTCTGTCACTTCTTGTCACACTCATTTTGCCTGTAGACAAATAATTTTTTTCCCCTCAGTTTGCCATCCACTTATGGTTGACAAGTTTTCCAAACACTTTTGCCTTTTGGCAAATAAAGCCGTTTGTGCCGTTGAAAGACCATTATTCTAATGGAATCGCATGTCCAAACACGGAAGGGTCCTGCCCTTTACCAATGCAAAAACATGTAGAGTTTTGACTGCTCTTGAACTAGGCACTGAGTGATATGTGGGTCCCTCAGGCTTCTGCTGTGTACAGGCCGATAGGATTGTGCACTTGAACACTAACTTTGCCTGTCCAAATCAACAGTCATAAACCAGAAATTTTACTGCCTGGCTAAGTGAAAAAAATAGACCAATCTCCTTTTGCCTGTAAGGTGAAATTTTATGGTCACTGGTTGTTTTAAAAGGGAAAGAGGAGAAAGTTTTTTTTAGTGACTTGGATCAGAAGAGTTGCCTAGCAACAATCCATATCCATTGAACCAAACAAAAGGAGTACACATGTGTAAAGGGAGCTGAGATTAGGTCATGAATTTCATTGTTGAAATTTAAGAAAACAATTTCAAAGTCTTACGAAATGCACAATATACAATGAACATGTTCATGTATACATCTCTTACAAATGTTTGCACAGAAATCAGTCAGTGTACTGGTAGCAGTAGAAGACATCAAAAGATGTGTATACGTAGAGGTTACGTGTAATTTAAAAGGAGCTATACATTTGAAAAAAAGGAGAAATTTTATGAAAATCTATGGAACATGTTAAATATAACAGCTGTTTCTTATACAACTATACTTTCAACTCTATTGTACTTAAATTGCGTTTAAGTATAAAAACCATTGAAACTGTTTTTTGGGGCAACTCGAAGAGGGTTGGATTCCAGAAGATGACAAAATGGCGTTTATCTTTCTTTTTTTTAATCAAACTTGTACGCATGTAGCCTATGTGAGAATTTTTGTTTTTCAGTCACGGAAGATGTATGATTCTTTTAAAATGGATAATAGCATACATTTGTACGTTCGTAAAATGTATGCATACCCATACATGTACCGGTACATTATGCACATTTACAAGGGCGGATCCAGAGAGGTTACAGGGGGGGGGGGGCAGAAGGGCTCTCACAAGTTCAAAATGGTCTTATTTGAGAACAGTTCTGTCACTGTGGGGGGGGGGGGGGGGGTCCCGCTCCGTACCCCCTTGGACTGCCATTGATTGAATTGTATGGTGTTTTTTTGTGATTTTAAAAAGCAGCGCTTGTCCACCAATTGTGTATGAAAGTGAATTGCAGTGGATTCCTTATCAGTGGATAGGAACATGGTCAGTGCACCGCTGCTTTATTTTCAGTGCTTTAACTTTCTCATCACAGATGCGCATTGATCCATCATTATGAAATATTCACGGTGCTAATCAGCGAGCCGCAGCCAATAATCTCACCCCACAGGAGCCATAAACAGTAGCCTAAGGGCCTGACGGCACTCAGGAGTTGGTGCCCAAACACCGCTCACTCCTCTTCCTTGCTTTTTTACTCTCTCTCCTAACTCCCCTTAGCATTGAGGAAGAATTGCGCTTGTATTCTTTTCCTTCGCTGCAATCTTGTTTTGCATCATCGCCATGGCGACGTGTTTGCATCAAGCGATCCCCTCGCCATGGTGGCTCTAAGGAAATTCAATTAACGGCTCTGTGTGTTTTCACAGCCACTCTGATGGATAAGAGAAAGTAGATTGGGAGAGGGGGACAACAAAAAATCCAAACCACATCAGTGCAAGTGGGAATTCCATTCCAGGCACAATTCTCTAATTCCTTCTCTAACTGTCCTTTCAATCATCATCTGCTAATCCATTTTTAGTGTGGTATAATTACTCCACAAAGCACCAATTGTATAATTCCATCTTGTGACTAAATATTCAAATTTTTAATTGATATGTATTTGTTTGTCTTTCCTTTCTGTTCATTTGTATATTAAAGGAGTGGTTTCCATATCCATACAGTGGAATTGTTTCTGCCAGCCAGCCTGGCCAACGATCATTACTGGCAGCGCGTGCACTAAAGGAATCGTGTATTGATTGTGTTGGACTGATCAATAACGGTATTCACACTCAGTGCAGTGGCTGAATGGAGCGGATAGAGAGGCAGCCATATGGCACTTTGCTTTCATTCCAGTGTTTTGATTTGCACCTTAGTTTGCAACACTCGATACACTAAACAGCAGTGCACAATACAATCCCATATTTATGACCCCTGGTTATTTGAGAAGGCGAGAGAGTTTAAAGAGAAACATGTAGTGCGCCATCTTATGTTCCTTAGTTGGGTGTCAGTAGGTTTTAACATGGATCTTAAATGAGATGGGAGTTGGGGAAGGGGGATGTCAAGATCTAGAACAAGTACACTTTAGAGCCACTCAAAGGGACTGAAATAAAAATGGTCAAATGACGCTGCTTTTTGTGTCTAGACAACTATGCATATTTAAACGTTACTTCCTGAGAGAAAGCTAGGCACATATTTGAACCAATAAGTCTTGGCTCCTGTATCACTGGGGGTTGGTAATTTGTGTATCATTATTGTGCTCCAGATTGTTCACTCACTGTAGTGCTTTTTCAGCTCATGCGAGAGAAACGATGCAGAAGTCTGGGTAATAACACAGATCACTCTCCCTGATTGCCCGGAATGACAATCCCTTGTATCAGGTTTTCCTGACAATCCATCACGGTACCCTCCACCGCAGTTTGGAATACAGATTACCAGTTTGCACAGATCAGACATGTTAGGCCATCGACAAGAGAAGACTCAGTAGCACATCTAATTTGATGAGTCCTACCAGCCCCTTTTCGTGTACCTTGCTGCGAATCCTCACATAGACAAGTTTGTGTGGTTGTGTATTCAGTACGCATTACAAGCTCGCGCTGGACCTTTGGTGCGTGGATCAGCGAAGCGTGGGTGTTGATTCAGGGGGACGGGGACATACACGCGAGCCGGGTCAGGTGTCGGGATGTGGCAAGCATCCTTTTGTTTGCAAATCTTCCACAGATAAAGATCTTGGTTGATTCATTACACTAGATACTGTAGCATCAAGGGTTAAAAATTACCTCCAAAAATCAATTACGCTTCCAATCTTCACTTTCACACACTCTGTTATTTAGACCAATTAATCTGTTTTGTTTCGTGTACTTGCTACTAGTATATTGCCAAGCCCATAAACAAAAAAAACCATGTATTTTTCAATATTAAATAATTCTAAAATTTCCACTTCACATACAGTGTCTTAAAATTGATGACCCACCCTAAACTTGTTATCTGTATCTGTATCATTGCAGTCAATAGGAAAAGGTTCGCTATGGTGCGTAGATCCAGATTATCGGCCCAACCTACTACAAGCGCTGAGAAAGACCCCCTACCACCCTTACCATCATGTACTGCCCTACAACTCCCATCCCTACCAGTATCATCAGGGCCCACTCTGCAACATCTCAAGGTATGTACGGTTCATGTATGTCTACATGCTTTATGATAACATACAGCCCTGTTACTCCATCCAAAATCTCTGTGTTGAACCTGGGTCAAGCCCTGAGATTTTGGCAACCCCTCTCACACTAGATTAGCAAGATTCCAACACGGCTTCCACAGGATCCAGTAACCTACAGGTGTAAAATTCAGTCCTAATCCTGGTAGGGACTAGAGTTTAGAGGCTCTACCCTGGTAGAACACCCAAAATCTACCACTTTAACTTTCATTGGTGCCTTTGTTCCATTCACTTACATGTGAATTGCATTGCCCCACCAATTTGATCATAACATTTGTTCATATTGGGAATGGAGACACACTGCATCGGTGTACCTAGACATGTTTAACTCTGCAATTATATTGGCCACCAAGAAGGCTACTTCAACGGGTTTGGAATCCATGCCGCCTCCGCACGAGGAAGGAAGGAGGTGCCAGATTAGCGTATAACCTGCCGGGAAATGGCCATGCATAATGTATGCGGATGCTGGCTGACCGACAATAAGAAGAGAGCGAGAGAGAAAAAAGTCCAACTTGCCACCTGCCCAAGATTCACTGGCACTTGGTTGCCGAGTGATGCGATGCTCGTTGACTGGGTTACCATAGCGACTGACTGTATCAAGCTGGTGTGATAGTGGCAAACACTAATGGGTCCTGTAACTCACATTTTATAGATGTGTGCCCTGCAGAGCTCTACATGGCATCATATCCCATGCAATGTGCAAGACTTCAGAAGAAAGACAAAATAATCAGATTTTGTTTTTGGAACAGTGTGAAAAATGAGTACATATTTATGTACATGTTTACTTGGAATGGTTCGGGGTGACTTGATTGTTAAAACTTGGAAATTTCTTGTAAACAAGAAATAGTTTAAATAATGTCAGGATATGTTTGCAGTCTTGATCGCGCTGAATAATTTATCACATCACAGATGAGATAATTATACATATAAATATGTTTTAGTGTTATTAATATTTGTGTGTTAAGTATAAGTGTTACATGAAAGATAGGAAGGACACACTGAAAAAAAAATACTTGTCAGTAGATTAATAAGAAATGTATATTTTTGTGATTATCCGAGTACTGAATACTGACTAACTGTGCATGCAAAATGTATGCAGATACCACAATAGTATTTTTCTGCAAAACGGAAAATTGGCTAAAGGATTTGTTTTATTGGCGTTGTTAAGCTGACAACCAGCTATGAGAAACATATCCAGATGGCTATGAAGCTATGATTGCAGAGCTTAATACAATGTATTCTTATTTGTACGTTTATCCCTTTGTTCTTACAGCAATCCTAACAGACTTCCTGCAATGCACATTGGCTGGAGTAATGGCATACCTTTACCAGGTAAGTTCAATCTTTCTGTCAAACTCACTAACACAAACTCCACAATATCCCTATTATTAACACAAACTCCACAATATCCCTATTATTTTCACTTGTTCAGGAACTAGGAACAGGAGTTCAATTTGATTTAAAAAAAAAGGATTCTGTCAAACAATAACCTTATTTTGGATTGCCATCACTAATCAGTTTTCTGTCAGTTAAATGCTGCAGCAGGCCTTAACCATGCATGCACTTTTAACGAGCACATATCTTATTTTCTGCAGACTCAACATATAGTTCGAACATTTTTTTATTAGAGTTTAAATATGGTCACCTACATGCACATCCCAGCTGCTTACATTAACATGTAATTTACATGTACTGTATGTGTAAGCCACCTTAATCTTGGTTTATTGTACATGTAAATTTTATGACATGTACACGTGTGCTTAGTAAAATTGAAAAGAGCCTTTCAGAGGAGGATTTCAAAGAAAGGAATCTCTTCTTCCTTTTTTTTTTAAATCAAGGGAACGTAGTAAGGGAAAACTGAAGGTGATTTTTGAGAAGAAAGAAATGTTTTGAGTTCCATGCATACACATATGTTCATGTACCGGGAAAAACCGGTACATATATGTAGAAGTCATTATTTTGCCAGACCAATACCTGCTAGAATAATCAGTCCCTGTCATCAATGCAAAGTCAGGGTGAATAGGGTCTCGCTGTCTGTCACGGACCCACAGATTGTTGATTGGGCCAAGGGATTGGGTGTTTGTGGAGCTCAGTACTTCTCGGGGTTTTCGAAAGGTGACTTAGGGTTCGTGGGAATGCAGACTTGTTTTTTTCCACCTAAACAAGTTTTTTGTTTGTTTCCAAGGGAAATGGCAACCATTTCTGGGGTCACGAAATGAAAAAAAAATGTTGTCCGGGGAAGTTAGTTTACTACGCTAAACTACATTGAAGATCAGGCCTGTAGGTACTATCTTTGCCAGGAAAGGCTAGACCACATGAAGTCACTTTAAATGCTTCCTGAAAATGCTTCTTTTGTTAGGAAGTTTAAAGGGGACATAAACTGTCCGTGCAGTCAGGTACATTCCCTGCATCCCTTTGATAAATTTTTGTTGAGATTGCTAAGTTGTACCGGTAGCTCGTTCTCGGATTGGTTGCTGAATGGGAAAATTAAAAAATGTTTTAAAGATATAGTCCATCATTTGTAATTTGTGCATTTTGTTCGTTTGAAGCAACAAAAGTGTTCAAAATCTAATGAAGAATACTGAACAACTAACCTGATGAAGTTTCAGCTAAGCTTCAGCTGTATATTCCGAGAAAAACAGCATTCTAGGATCTAAATTTCAAATCAAAAGTTACTGAATCATGTTTTGAATTGTTTTGAATTGCAGCTATACGCGACGTCGCGCACTGATCTGACGAATTATAGCAACTGCGCGCGCGTGTGCGTCGTGCCAATGCTTGTGCGCGCTTTGCCGAATAACAAAACAAACTACTAATTTAAATTTTCCTACGGTGCGTCTTGACGCACCGTTGGAAAGGCCTTCTTTCATTGATTACTTCAAAATGACAGCTTCCCAGAAAGAATAATTTCACAGGGAGTTTAGTTCCCTTACTATCTTTCAACCAAGTATGTTTTTCAACAATAATTACGCCAGTTACTTTTCGGATGGCTGCAAATGATGGACTATAGCTTTAAGTAGGTTGTATAAATATCAACAAGATTCCTCACTTCCAAAATGTGTGAAGCAGTGTCCCATACATACATGTACGTGATTACTGCTGATTTGACCTGTAAAGGCATAAACATTGGTTGCTAGGTTAACAGGAAAAACAAACCAAGTTCCAGTTGTTGCTGTATAAATTAATCTCTATTTTTAATTTAGTTGGAAGAGAAAATTGAGTTATTGTTAAATTTTGAAGCTGAATGGCACCTTGACACCTGTTGTTGATCAAAATTTGTTGGACTTCTTCACATGGATCTTTTCAAGTAGAGATTAGCTTGCACTATATCTTAAAGTTTGATAGGGACAAGGTCATTCTGGTCACCTACGGTACCCTGCCCCTTTTAAGGAATAGTGTCCTAAACTAAACCATCAGGTGTATTGCATCAGGCGTCATTGCACATCACCCACTCCTCTGCTTCACAGCCACACTCGCTCCCTGCCCGCCCCCACGGCAATTTCCAGTTCATTGCTCCTCTTGTCAACACAGTAATTGAATAATTGAGACACAAACACATCACTAGTGATAACCCAATACGCGTATTTCCTGCTCTTTATTTGAACCATGATGGTGTGGGATGGGCGGAGCTGCACGGAATCAAAAGCTCACTCACCGTATCATTAGTGCAGAAATATCTGACTTGCGGGAAAAACAAGTTTTCTCTAATTTTTGTATGAAGTTATTTTTGGCTTGTCTGCAGATTTTGCATGCAAGCCTGATTTTGTTTTCTTTTTGTAACCTGCCTTAATGTAAACGTTTGCTTTGAGAATTTAATGCCAACTCATGTGTGCTGCACAAACATTCTCAAATCTGTCAAATATTATAAAAGGTTTGTGGTAACATCCACTTCCGCTAAAATACTACATGTATAATTGAAAGTGTGGGGTGCTTGCACAATAATGTAAATATTACATTAGTTTCATCGTTGATTGATGTGCTAAACTAGCTGTTTATGTTTCATGTGAAACAAGATCAAGTGAAACTGGCATCTGAGTTTTCAGAAGAAAAAGAAATTGATGGAAACTCCAGCATGTGACAGCTTGATGGAGCCAGGACACCAGAAACAGACCAAGGAAGTAGGGTTCTGGTTTTCTCAACAACATGTTCTTGCAATCTGCACTGCACGCACGTAATAGGACTTTCGAAGAATCGACCACTTCAACAAATAATAACCCATGCCAATAGACTGACTGTCGTCAGGAAGGGTGAAAGAAATAAAGTACATCCCTGGCCAACACAGTCTCACTAAATTGGAATCTTCATCTTGTCTTGTTGCCTGCACAGAATATTAATTGCAGAAATGAAAATGAGAAAAAAAGAATGAGGAATAGTGGAGGGAAAGTCGATATTGGCTACATTTCTGTTTGACTGGGCAGGAAGGAAGTAGGGGTTAGTTGGAGAGGAGAGATGAACTGAGAGTCCTGCATTCCCTGTCCTCGATTGAGTGGATGAAGCTGAGGCAGCACGTGTTGACAGAAGTTGGATGCGTTTGGAATTGAATTGGTCAGTTCTTGATATCTGTGCATGATGGCTGCTGTGAATCCTTGTGCCCTTTCTGCCATTGAATCTTGGGGGTTACTTTTATTAGTAGCCCATACAATTTTCAGATGATCTTTAAGTCTATTCAGCAATACCTATTATAGACAAGTCTTGATTGCCCACATGCATTCCCCCCCCCCCCAAAAAAAGAAGTCATGTACATTGCATTTCATTTTGTTTAAAAATAACAAAATAGGAAAGTTTCAATCTCTCTGTGCTACCGGTACTTTCATGGACGAAGCACATGTGTATGTACCGGTAGGTGAATATATGAAAATATGACGTTTTGTTCATGTTTTTTTCTCAATAACCTTTATGCTTATTTTTCTGTCTTGAATTTCACCCACTGGTAGCCTCCCACAGGGTCAACTTATTACAATGCTTACACCTTCAGCTGTGAATTTGTTCTTTTAAATCCAGTTCTTTGTGTCCAGTTAGTTGACCCTCAAATCTTTGCTTTGGACAAGCTCTCTGAATTTTCCCAGACATTTACTGCTGGAACAGCTGGCCCTCTCTTAAATCACTGTTCTTTTGTAGTTGATCCACAGGTAACAATATTTTAGGAAACTGTTTATGACACCATTGTAGGGTGTGGGAATGGACGCCCTTCCTGCACTGGGTACCTCGCGCAAGGCCATATTATTTAGGATTAGTAAAAACTTCTTTAGAATTCCTCCTGCCCTCAAGCCAACAAATGACGAAGATTGACATGAACATAGACAATCTACATACATTTGTACACATGTACCTTAGATTTAAAAACATTTTAAAGGGAATGTACAACATTTGCTTTTGCTGCAATTTTCAGAAATAAATGGATTGGGAGGACTAGTATGTTATAGCAAATATTGTTAAATTGACTTGCTTCACGTTTTGGGTTTGGAGATGCTGGAAAATCCAAGAAAACCAACCATGTTTTTGAAGTCTGGTTCCCTGACCCCACGTAAGATGAAACGGAGCAATTTATAGACTTTGGAGGATTGCAAGGTCAGAGAATCCGTCTAGAAGGCTTGTACCCCTTCACAGGTGTGTAATCAATTGCAAAGAAAATGCGGAATAACTAAATATGAAAATTAGGGGCACTTTTTGAAAACAGTCAGTTTTCTCCAACGCTGGTCGGCCAACCAGCGTTGGAAAAATACAAGTTTTCTTGAAAATGTCAGAACACCAGGAGCCACGATTTTACAGGATGCTTTCGACTGTCATTCCCTAACAATCCAGTAAGATATTTCGTGATGATTTGATCATTTCGTTTTTTGATGTTTGCAAATGTTGTATCTTCCCTTTAATAAGTATGAATCATAATGTTCTACGCACTGTAGACTTGAATGTCGCATTAAGTTTCCACGTGGCTGTTGGAAAAAAATCCAATGGAAACATGGCTTCAGATTCCCACGCCATAACTGCAGAAAAGTTTGTGTATACAGCATGTGTGTTCCATCTTTACTGTGCATCAAGTTTGCTTGGAGATAAATTTGTTGTCCAACTTGCGCTCGCAGAACACGGAAAATGTAGTGCGTCTCTGTCTCACATACCACTTCGGTGTCATGGCATGTGGGACACAGATGCACTACATTATTCCGTGATTCACTCGCGTTCGTGGGATAACTAATGTACAATTTTATAGTGTACAATATTAGACAAGAATAAAAGACAAGAGGCCATAACATATACCCATGTACATGTGGTTGCCAAGACAATCTCAAAAAAAAAAAATTCTGCAGTATGCCTCTTATTTTTCAGTAGTACCG